AGGCCCCTTGGCCCTGGGCTTCCGCTCTGCCTTCCAGGCCCACTGGGACAGCAACTCTGCTTCCTCCGCTTTAAGCACACCATTCTCCTTGTCCATCTGAGTGGAAACTCCATCCTTAGGACACCAGAGGCCATGGCTTCACTCTTTGAAACCCCAGAGGTTGTGGCCATACCTTTTGAGACTGAGGCAGCTCGGCTTCTGGTGTTTCTTGTCTCTTCACATTCTGCTTCCTGGTTTCTTGGCCTCTGGGCTCCTCGGACCTCACGCCCACATCTGCCCTGCTGGGGCAAGTGTTCCAAAGCTGTGTAGCTCCATTGATAAGTACCTGGAGGTATCCCACTCCTCCAGGAAGCCTCTTGCGCACAGGCACTCAGCTCTCTTGCTCCGTGGGTTGGCTCCAGCGCCGTCTTGCACTGGTCTCCGGATTCTGCTGCTGCTGGCTCTCTGCCACCGCCGCTTCTCCGGCACTGCCGGTTCTCTGCCGCTGCTGGTCCTCTGCCACTGGGGCTCCTCTGTCCATTCAGTTTCAAAACGGCTTCCACATTTCAGGTGTTTGTTACAGCAGCACCCCATTCCTGGCACCAACTTCTGTCTTGGTTATCTAGTGCTGCTATAACAGAAATACCACAAGTGGATGGCTTTAACAAAGTTTATTCTCACACAGTCTAGCAGGCTACAAGTCAAAATTCGGCATCAGCTCCAGGGGAAGGCTTTCTCTCTCTGTTGGCTCTGGAGGAAGGTCCTTGTCATCAGTCTTCCCTTGGTCTGGGAGCATCTCAGCACAGGAACCTCAGGTCCAAAGGACGTGCTCTGCTCCTGGCACTGCTTTCTTGGTGGTATGAGGTCCCCCGTCTCTCTGCTTGCTTCTTTCTATCTCAAAAGAGACTGGCTTAAGACACTATCTAATCTCAGATTTCATCAATATAAATGTTGCTAATCCATCTTATTACATCACAGTGATAGGATTTACACATACAGGGAAACTACATCAGATTACAAAATGGTAGACAATCATACAATACTGGGAATCATGACCTAACCAAACTGACACATTTCTGGGGGACACAATTCAATCCATGATAGGGAGCCCTGGTGGTGCAGTGGTTAAGAGCTAAGGCTGCTAACCCAAAGGTCGTTTGAATCCACCAGCTGCTCCTTGGGAATCCTATGGGGCAGTTCTACTCTGTCCTATGGCCTCGCTATGAGTCAGAATTGACTCAGCGGCAACAGGTTTGGGTTGGGGTTTTTTTGTTGTTGTTGTTATCTTTTGGAAGGAGCACTGGTGGCACAGTGGTTAAAGCTCTCATCTGCTAACTAAAAGGTCAGTGGTTCAAACCCACTAGCTGCTCTGTGGGAGAAAGATGTGGCAGTCTGCTTCTGCAAGGATTTACAGCCTTGAAAACATGGAGCAGTTCTACTCTGTCCTATGGGGTCCTTTAGGGTCAACTGAGTCAGAATCAACTCGATGGTAGTGAGTTTGGTTTTGGTTTGGTGGTCTTTTGGAAGTAGATCGCCAGGTCTTTCTTACGAGGCACCACTAGGTGGATCTGAACTGCCAATATTTCGGTTAGTAGCCAAGCACTTAACCATTTGTGATCACTTAACCATTTGTGATACCCAGGGACTCCTTCACCTACCTCAGTGGTTCTCAAATCGAAGTGATATTGCCCTCCCCCCCGCCCAAGGAACATTTGGCAACATCTGGAGACATTTTTGGTTGTCACAACTAGAGGGTAGGGGGGTGCAGTGCTACTGACATCTAGTAGGTAAGCCAGGGATGCTGCTAAACATTCTACACTGCACAGGGCAGCCACCATGACGAAGAATTATCTGGCTTAAAATGTCAATAGTACCAAGATCGAGAACTATATTTTCTCCTGTAACTTATATGTTTGAGTTTTGTTTTTAATGCTTACCACTTTAATTTCTCTGGAATAATTTTTTTTGGGTGGGGTGTATGTCTGATTATTGTTTTCCAAATAATGTCATCCTGAATATTTTCTCCATTCTTGACTCATTATTCTGAAATGCTACATTTATCATATATGTTCTAATTTTTCACACACAGGATCTGTTCCTAGACTCTCTTCTGTTCTATAGCATAATTTGCAATTTTGCTGGACCAATACCACAACATCCTATATTATACTACACGTTATACTTGGTTATCTAGGAAAGGGTAAATACTCTCTCATGATGATGATTATTTTATTGGAAGTCATGTATTTTAGCAGCTCATGTACTCCCTCATTATTTAAATAACAGTATTTTTGGCTATTCTTACAGTTTCTTTTTCAGACTAATTTTAGATCAGCTTGTTAAAATAGTTTATTCTTTCAACAGCTCTACTGAGATGTAATTCACGAACCAATACATGATTTAAAGTGTACAAGTCAACGGTTTTTAGTATATTCAGAATTGTGCAACAATTACCACAATCTAATTTGAGAACATTTTCATCACTCCCCTAAAAAACCATGTACCCATTAGCAGTCACTCCCCATCCCACCCTCCAATACCCCAGCCCTAGGCAATCACTAATCTTCTGTCTCTTTAGAGCTGCCCATTCTGGATACTTCATGTAACTGGAATCATACCATATGTGGTCTTCTGTGCCCGGCTTCTTTCATTTAGATGTTTTCAAGGTTCATCCATGTTGCAGCATGTATCAGTACTTCATTCTTTTTTATTAACAAATAAAATTCCATTGTATATATTACATTTGTTTACTCATTCATCAGTTGATGTACATTTGGGTTGTTTCCACTTTTTGGCTATTATTAATAACACTACTATGAACTTTTGTGTGGACATATGTTTTTATTTCTCTTTATATACTTGGAAGTGAATTTGCTGGGTCATAACTGGGTGGTGCAAATGGTTAAGGCTTGGCTACTAACCAAAATGTTGTCAGGTCAAATCCATTCACAGGCACCTTGGAAGAAAGGCCTGGTGATTTACTTCCGAAAGATCACAGCCCTTGAAAACCCTACGGAGTTCTACCCTGAAACACCTGGGGCTGCCATGAGTTGGAATTGACTCAATGGCATCAGTTTGGTATTTTTTGTTTTATTTTGGGGGTAAGGAATGGTAACCACAAAATACATGTTCTAAAAGATTGATAAATTTAAACATAAAATTTTAAATTTTGGCTCAACAAAGATGCCATAAGGTTAAAAGACAAGCAAATTTTAAAATTAAAAAAAAGCAATAAATTGGAGTAAATACTTAAAACATATGCAAATGACAAAAGATTCAGAGCCAGAATATAATGGTTGGCAGTTCAAATACACCCAGTAGCACTGCAAAAGAAAGGCCTGGCAATGTGCTTTTGTAAAGATTACAGCCAAGAAAACCCTATGGAGCAGTCCTACACTGTAACACATGGGGTCACCATGATTCTGAATCAACTTGTCGGCAATAGGCTTGGTTTTTTGTTTTTTATAAAACAACAAGAGAAAGACAACCCAATAGAAAGAAGTGATGTTTCTCAAAAGAGGAAATTCAAATGGCCAACAATCATAAAAAGAAGTTCAATCTCAGTAGTAACTAGGGAAACACAAATTAAAACAACATTGAAAACTCATTTTCCATCCATCAGATTGGCAAAAATCAAAAAGGCTGAAAATATCAAATGTTTCAAAGAGTGTGGGGAAACGGACATTATTATACATTGCTAGTAGGCAATCTGGCAGGCATTAATTCTCCACACCCTCCTACCCAGCAAATCCTCCCACTCCTCCACACCCTCCCACCCAGCAATTCCTCCCACTCCTCCACACCCTCCCACCAGCATTCCTTGAGAAATGCTCACATTGGCACACATTCATGTGGAAGATTCTCTGCCACACTGTGCCTGTCTAACAGTGAAAAACTGGAAGCAATCTATGGAATCTCATGTACTATGGAATCTTACATACTATGGAATTCACAGGGCAATGTGTGTTAACAAAAAGTTCCAAGACCCATTTTTAAGCATAAAAAGGCAAGTTGCTGAACACCACACAGTATTAGCATATCTGTAAAATATGCATCTGTAAAAATTTAACTTAAAATTTTACATACATGCACATACGTACACACAATTGTCAATAAATGCAAAGGAAAGGAATTAGAAAAATATAGCCAAAACTGAGAACAGATCTTACTTTGGGAGAAGGGACTGGTAAAAGAGGAAGAGTTGGAGATGGAAAGAGAGATGTCAAAGAATATCTGCTTTTTTTTATATGAATTTTTTTACAAGACTGTATGCATGGATTACTATTAAAATAAATATAAAAGAATACTTTTTGTAAAACAAGCTGAACTTGACTAAAACTAATCCTTCTTTCCCCTATTAAATCTTTCTCCCGCACTTTCTAATGCTAATAATTAACAAACCTCTCAGTGCAATTCCTTCTGTCCTTATAATACAACTAACGTAATACTATATAAATAACTTTGTGTTTCCAATAACTGGAAAACCCTTGTGGCGTAGTGCTTAAGAGCTATGGCTGCTAACCAATAAGGGCGGCAGTTCGAATCCACCAGGCGCTCCTTGGAAACTCTCTGGCGCAGTTCTACTCTGTCCTGCAGGGTCGCTAAGAGAATCAACTCCACGGCAACGTGTTTAGTTCCAAGAAATGGCTATATGAGGGAGTTAGTTTAGGTCCAATAGTATATCAAAGGTTTATCTATCCCAGAGATGCGAAAAGAACAAGGTGGCTTCTCAGCAAGGCCGAGAGCAGCGGATGTAGTTTGGGAGAAAAGGCGCGGTCACAATAGGTAGGGGTACTTCTTCACGAATCGAGGGGAAGGAACTGTAACTGTGGTCGCGTCTAACGCATACACTACCCCAGAAGTTCCCAAGCGGCTCCCAGCGGTGCCTCCTCTTTAGCTTACTGGGTCGAGGAACCATGAATGTTTGGTAGGTGCCCATAAAGAGAGAAGGCGGAGCTGAGAGGGCGGCCTGGGGAGGGCGTGGGGGGCCGCGGTCCTGAGCAAGAGCTATTGTTACGCACCTAGATGCTGAATCTCCCCCGCTGCGGGTGAGGGAGGCAAGGAGGGCGCGCCAAGGGGCGGGGAGAAGGGCAGAACGACTGGATGCCAGCAACCGTCGTCCCGACATGCTGTGACACCCTTGTCTCCCCGATCCCTGTCCAGCCGCACTGGAAATCTCTTCCGCCCTGAGCATAAGCCCGGTGAAATGCCTCGCTGGTCCCTGAGCCTCACTTACCTGCGGCCCCTAACCCGACCCGAACACCTACGGCACCTCACGCTGAAGACATGGAACCTCCGCGGCCACCTGCGCGCGCCCACCCGGATCCACTAGAACGGAAACCACTTCCGGTCCTGCGGCGGGCCAGGAGGACGTAACACTAGCCAGAGTGTGCCTATGGGTGGCACCATATTGTACGGAAGCTGCTAGGGCAGCTGTTCCCTCGCCGGTTTCTCCACTGTTGAGCAAAGGATTTGTTAAAACTAGGAAGACTTAAGATCGCTTCAAAAACGTGATGGTTTTGTTTTTGTTTGTGGGATTATATTTTTGTTTGTTTAAGCCTCTGGAACCACCACAAATGCAATATGGAACATCTGATTTTCATTCTTAATTAGCCCTGGAGTAGTGTTTCTTGACTGCATTTATTTTCTTAACTGTTAAGTGATGAAAGTAAACAGAAGGAGAGACACTATTTAAATCATATATTTCTCATTAACGGTGCATATTATCCTATTAAAAAAAAAAAAAAAGCCACACCCGTTGCATTGATTCCAACTCATAGCGACCCTATGGGACAGAGTAGAACTGCCCCAAAGAGTTTCCAAAGAGCAGATGGTGGATTTGAACTGCTGACCTTTTGGTTATCAGCCGTAGCTGTTAACCACTGCACCACCAGGGTTACTATTAGCCATTACAGTAATTTATGTCATCTTTATATGGCAATAACCACATTAGCTTCTGTTTATATGTGAAATTATTCATTCACCTGGTCTTTTTTAGCAATTGTTCTATGTGAGGCAGCTAATGTGTGCTATGTGCTGTCATGGAACTTGTAAAAGACAGAGAAATGAGACACATAAATAAACAATGTAAACTATAAATAATATTAGCTGCCATTTGTTGACAAGGTGCTTGAAGTGTGCTATGAACTCTGCAAATCATTTTACATGTGTCTCTCATTTAATCCTCAAAACAACCCTATGAAGTAGTACTATTGCTAGTACAATTTTACATAAAATAGAGAAAGGTTAAATACAGTTTCTCAAGGTAACTCAACAAGTAAGCATTTGAGCTGGGAATCAAACCTCAGTATGTCTGATTGTAAAGCTTGTTGGCCTCATCCACTGTATTATGTTGCCTCCAATACAGGAAAAAGGGTTCTAAGTTGCATTAGGCAATTCCCCTTAAAGGGGGGATTTCTGGCAATTGTAGAGGATTAACCCCCTGCATTTTTATCTGCTCCCCTCCTGAAGTACCTAAAAAGAAAAAAAAAAAGAAAAAGAGGAAATGCAAATTAAAACTACAGTGAGATACCATCACATACACACCAGAATGGCTAAAATGATACCAACAGAAGATACCAAATATTGGCAAGATTTTGGAGCAGCCAAAACTCTCACCTTTAACCTAGTGCAATAAGACAAGAAAAAGAAGTGAAAGGTGTACAGATTAGACAGGAAGAAATAAAATTATCTTTATTTGCAGATGACATGATTGTCTATGTAGAAAACCCAAAATAATCTACAAGAAAAAGCTCCTGGAAGTAATAAGCAAGTGTAGCAAGGTTGCAAGACATAAAATCAATATACAGAAGTCACTTACTTTTTTATGTACCAGCAATGTACAATTGGAATTTGAAGTTAAGAACGAATGCCATTTACAATAGTGTCAAAAAAAAAAGTACTTTTTAGTCTAGCAAAATATGTGTAGGATCTGTATGTGGAAAACTACAAGCACTTATAAAAGAAATAAAAAATCTAAGTAAATGGAGAGAGATTGTGTGTTCATGGATTGGAAAACTAAATATCGTTATGTTGTGCAGTGTAGTGAATTACATGACCCTTCTAGCCATGGCCTCCCAACTCCCACAAAATTATTGTGTGGGACTATGCAAATAAGGTGCTCGTAGCCCACCAAGGGGATTGGACAGTTTTGCCTATCAAATAAGGTATATGAAATCCTTGTGGGGGGTGGAACTATGCAAACAAAGTAATGGAACCCTTATAGGGGATTAGCCAGTTTTGCTTCTCTGCTCGACTTAAAAAGAGCTAATCCCAAAAGTGAAAAGCGGAACCTCACTACCCTCAAGAAGAAGAGCCAGAAGTGGAGTGTGTCTTTTGGACCCAGAGTTCCTGTGCTGAGAACCTCCTAGACCCAGGAGACAGAGCTATAACACTGGAGAAGGCATTAGACGGTGAGAAGCAGCAGCAAGCGCGGCAGAGAAATGGCAGTAGCAGAACCAGGAGACCAGTACAAGACAGTATGGTGGGCTTCCTGGCCCATGGAGCAAGGCAGCTACAGTGGATGTGCCAACACACAGAGCAAGAGAGCTGAGCTTCTTTGGGCAGAAGGCTTTCTGGTGGAGTGGGGTGCCGCCAGACACTTGTTGGAAGAGCTAAAGAGCTTTGTGACACTTGCCCAAGCAGGGCTGAGGGCCGAGAGAAGAGGCCTGCCCTGAGGGGGCCAAGAGGAGCTGAAAGAGTTGTCCATCATTGAAGAAGGGAAACTTTGCCTACATGCTTCCTGATCCTGAGTTGTAACTTGTTACTTCCCTAATAAACTCCATATCTGTGAGTATGGTCTGTGAGTTCTGTGAGGGCATTGCAATGTATTATCGAACTCAGCAGAGAAGTAGAGAGTGCTGTGGGAGGCACAGCTGGTGTCAGAATTGGTAAAAAGGTTAGAAAGAGGAGGAACCGTATTTTACACAAATAACGCGTGCCTTCTATGTTTGTTTGCCAACTGCACCCTCCTCCCGCAAGGTATTTTCATAAATGCCACTATGCCAAATTTTTTTTACACGAAGCTATAAAAATAATAGTATAGCACACTTACAAAAATACTTTGCAGGGAGGGCATGGTTGGCAAACAAACATAGAAGATACATGTTATTTGCATAAAAATACAGTATTTCTGACCTCCACCTCATAGGAAGCAGCCTTGGGTTGATGATCTTGATTCTCCCTCTTCCCCCTTGTGAAGTTAGAGGAGGTCTGATGCCACTATGCCATTTTTACAGGTTGATTCTTCCAACTTGATCCATAGATTCAATGCAATCCCAATCAAAATCTCAGCAAACTATTTTGTAGATATTGACAAACTGATTATAATTTGATATGGAAAGGCAAAGGACTAAAATACCCAAAATAATGTTGTTGTTGTGTGCCATCGAGTTGATTCTAACTCCTAGTGACCCATAAGACAGAGCAGAACTGCCCTATACAGTTTCTTTATGGGAGCAGATTGCCGGGTCTTTTCTCCCATGGAGCTGCTAGTGGATTCAAACCTCCAACCTTTCAGTTAGTAGCCAAGCAATTAAGAGTTGGAGAACTCACACTACCTGATTTCAGGATTTACTATAAAGCTATAGTAATAAAGACAGCATAGCATTTACAAAAGAGGAGACATATAGATCAGCAGAGCAGAATAGAGAGCCCAGAAATTGGTCCATACAAATATGATCAAAATTGGTTCATTAATTGTGACAAATGTACCATAATAATGTAAAATGGTAATAAAATGGGAAACTAGGTGTAGGGTATGGGTGGGTATACCATCTTATAATTTTTCTGTAAATAGAAACTATTCTAAAATAAAAGTTTATTTAAAAAAAAAGTTGATTATACAAAATGGACAATTTCCTAGAGAAATATAAGTTACTGTAGTAGCCACAAGGGCAGTTCATATATATTTGGTTCTGTCTTTCTAAGCACATGATAGGATATCACTTCACAGCCACATTAGATTCACTTCACAGCCACATTGGATTCAGGTATGGCCATGACCTGCTTTAGCCAATTAAATATAAGCAGAAGCACTGAGAAACACGCAGAAACTTTGAGAGTCAGGACATAGTCTTTTCCCTCTGCCATAGCAACTGGGTCCCAGAGTGATGACAATGGTGATGCAGGGGGCATAACCTTGTGCTGTCTGTCAATGGACATGTTTAAGTGAGAAATAAGCTTTTTATGTTTTAAGTCACTGAGATTAATTTAGGGGTTAATTCTTACTGCAGCATAGCCTAGCCCATCTGACTGATAAAATTTCCAAAACAGGTTCAGGAAGAAATAGAAACCCTGAATAGTCCTGTAATCATCATAGGAATAGACTCAGTAATTAAAAATCTATGCACCAAAATACTACCAGTTACTGTCAAGTAGATTCTGACTCATGGTGACCCCATGTGAGTCAGAGTAGAGCTGTGCTCCATAGGGTTTTCAGTGGCTGATTTTTGGGAAGTAGACTGCCAGGACTTTTTTCCAAGGCATCTGAGTGGACTTGAACCTCCAATCTTTTGGTTGGCAGCTGAGTGCATTGACTGTTTGTACCCGAGGACTCCAAAATATATACTGGGTGTTAGGGATTGAATTGTGTCCCCTCCAAAATGTGTGTCAACTTGGCTAGGCCGTGATTCCAGGTATTGTGTGCTCGTCCACCATTTTATCATCTGATGTGATTTTCCTATGTGTTGTAAATCCTACCTCTGTGATGTTAATGAGATGAGATTAGCGGCAGTTATGTTAATGAGGTAGGACTCAATCTAAAAGATTAGGTTGTGTCTTAAACCAATCTCTTTTGAGATATAAAAGAGAAAAGGGAGCAGAGAGGCATGGGGACCTCATACCCCCAAGAAAGCAGTGCTGGAGCAGTGTGTCCTTCAGACCTGAGTTTCCTGCACTGAGAAGCTCCTAGACCAGGGGAAGGTTGATGACAAGGAACTTCCTTCAGAGCCGACAGAGAAAGAAAGCCTTCCCTGGAGGTGACACCCTGAATTCAGACTTTTAGCTCACTAGACTCTGAGAGAATAAATGCCTGTTTGTTGAAGCCATCCACTTGTGGTATTTCTGTTATAACAGCACTAGATAACTAAGGCACTGGGATTAGATTATTTTTTTAAAGGCAAATTCAACTCTTTAAGTAACAGATAATTATGGTTTTATACAAATTCTGTCAGAGGATAGAAAGTAGGAACACAACGTAACTAAT